GAACTCCTTCTCATAGTCGTATGGATTCACTGATTTCAAGCGCTCTAATAAGACATCTTTAGCCATCTCTTTAGGATCTCTGAAATTGTCTAAATATCTGTCGAGAAAAACAAATTAATACACAAAAAGATAGGACAGAAAGGGGACAGACATGTTGAATGGGGCTCTGGCCGGGAACTGTAGCTGTTTGAAGGATGTATTTTTGGGTGCAATCCATTCGTAATGCGGACATCGCATGTCTTAACGAAACAAAAAACAATCAATAATTGCAATCATTTTAAGTAAATCTCAAAACAGACTCAGAAAATCGTAATATATTTTCCGTGAGCTGTAGTCCCAAGTGGTCTGAAACCAAGAAAGGCCTACTGGTGTGAGAGAGTTGTCTGTCCCGTGGGCTGACATAAACTCATAGGCATTGAACGATCTATTCTTGAGGTCAAAGTCATCGACTTTTGGCAAATTCAGTGGATTCTTGTGTTTATATAACATGAATACAAATCTTTGATAACCCAATCCTCTGATACCATAAACTGGTAAATATTGAACAACTGTCTCATGAGTCGTCACTTTATTCTTGTTATGAGAACTCCTTCTCATAGTCGTATGGATTCACTGATTTCAAGCGCTCTAATAAGACATCTTTAGCCATCTCTTTAGGATCTCTGAAATTGTCTAAATATCTGTCGAGAAAAACAAATTAATACACAAAATGATAGGACAGAAAGGGGACAGACATGTTGAATGGGGCTCTGGCCGGGAACTGTAGCTGTTTGAAGGATGTATTTTTGGGTGCAATCCATTCGTAATGCGGACATCGCATGTCTTAACGAAACAATAAAAACAATCAATAATTGCTATCATTTTAAGTAAATCTTAAACAGACTCAGAAAATCGTAATATATTTTCCGTGAGCTGTAGTCCCAAGTGGTCTGAAACCAAGAAAGGCCTACTGGTGTGAGAGAGTTGTCTGTCCCGTGCGCTGACATAAACTCATAGGCATTGAACGATCTATTCTTGAGGTGAAAGTCATCGACTTTTTGCAAATTCAGTGGATTCTTGTGTTTATATAACATGAATACAAATCTTTGATAACCCAATCCTCTGATACCATAAACTGGTAAATATTGAACAACTGTCTCATGAGTCGTCACTTTATTCTTGTTATGAATATTGGTTGCCATCCAATGGCAGACATTTGATTCGTGGCCTAAATGCGAGTCCAAACTAATGAGACATAAAGTGTAGTAATGGTTGCCGTCATTCAGTAGTCTTATTCGTCCGCTTAGTTCTTCGTCCGACACTTCACTTGTATCACAATTATCTGAACTATTGATTCCATTGATAGCCGAAGAATCGATGGTAACGTTGGGACAGTTAAAGCATTTCTGAGGAAATATTATATTTCCGCGAAATACCGGCGAAACAATGATATCATTGCTTTGGTTTTCAGCCATTTCTTCGCTATTCTTATCGATGGCATCCTTTTCCTCCACTTCTGACTCTAAGACACAAAACTCTGCATTCAATGAGACTAATGGCGTGAAGTAATAAACCGGTGTTTGAGGCATCACTTCAATGGCAGACACGCTCTGAAGTGGAGGACTGACTGGGAAGAGGTCTCTGAAGATGGCGTAATGATTGGCCAAATCAACAGTACTTCTGATTCCTTCTTCACTCAAAAGCCATTTCCGGTAAATCTGTTTGTAATCTAAAGACTTGTCCACTTCCTCTGAGTCTTCCGAGTCTTCTTTAACCCTTTGACTCTTGGCTTTGATGTCTTGACTCACTTGCAGCCATCTCTGTCTTAGTGGCGAGTCTTCTGTGAGTCCGATGTCCACCAAATGATTGCAGTTTTCGTGATAATTAATGGCATTTAGTTTCTGTTCAATGGTTTGGTAATAATCCGGGGGTTTGTCGATCACCAGAGGCTCGTAACGGATCCATCGCTTCATCTCTTTCACGAGGAATGCATTTCTCAACAAAAGACGATTACTTCTCACCAATGAATACATAATGCAATCGTTTTGTCATTTAATTCACACTTAAATCCTATTTAAAAGTTGTGTTTATTTTAATTGTAAACATTAGACAAACTTTATGTATAAATAACGTCCCATTCATAGACCAGAATTCAATTATAAACCATAAATTTACTAAATATTTTTGACAACTAATGCTATCAATTTACCAGGTTTATCCAGCATTAAATACCTAATAACCGCGGTGATAATTACGCTAATGAACCAAGGTGCAAGTGAATGAAACCGAAATAATGGGTCAAATGGTGCGTAAGTGTGTGAATGTAGACGTAATTGACTGATGAATGTGTGGCACAAATGCAATGCGTTTTGTTAATAATTACGCTAATGAACCAAGGTGCAAGTGAATGAAACCGAAATAATGGGTCAAATGGTGCGTAAGTGTGTGAATGTATTTGACGTAATTGACTGATGAATGTGTGGCACAAATGCAATGCGTTTTGTTCGCGTTTCCTCTCATTTCTCTTTCTGGTGAACCGTAGACTCAATACAATGAGGTATGTATTGCTCCTAACATTATCTCCTATTTTACCACTTTTTACCACTCTTTGGACATCAATTTTATCGATAATATGTGTTTGAATGCACGCAAGTGCTGTCTGTGATGTCTTTGTGGTGATAATAAGCTAATTGTCAGTTAAAGAGCCGATTGATGGAAATGTTACGAAAACACGTTTTCTCTACGTTTACAGCCATTAGTGAATAGACTATCGATATATCGATTGAACTCATGTCTGGTGTCCTAACATATCATTGATTGTCTTTAATTGCAATTAAATTAACACTATTTTAATGACACTTCAGTGCATTAAAGGGACAAATAATAAGTAATTTCTGTCTTTACGTCAGTTCTCTGCGACTACAGAAGCGTTTGGCATCGGCTGTACTGAAGTGCGGCCGCAATAAGGTTTGGTTGGATCCCAATGAGAGCAATGAGATCGCAAACGCCAACTCCAGACAACACATCCGTAAACTTATCAAAGACGGCCTCATTATCCGCAAAC